GCTCCCATAGGTCACTTCGAATGCTTGTCCAGAAGTTTGATAACTGTCGCTGCCTTGCGCATCGTAGCTCGGATGAGGGCAATCCTGGCATGCGACAGGGACCTGAGGTCATAAAAGCACACCGTGTCAGCGATTGGATCACGTATCTCAGCCGCCTCCGGGGACCGTGACTTTACCCAAAGATCAGCCGAGCCCGTATCGATGTCGACTGTCATCCTCTGCTTTCGAGTCCCCATTGCCAACGGTCCATAGTACTCCACGTCCAGGTTGCCAACGATGTCATCTATTAAGGGCATCTGGGCTGTCTTGACATCAAAACCCGAGGTCCCCACATCGCTGGGCAATGCATTGACGGCCACAGTCTCCTCGATCGATCGGGCCATTTGGAATATTTGCTGAACTGGAACCATCTCGTCCGCGCTGTGCATAATCCGCTCAGCGTCCTTGTATTTTGACAGGATTCGCTTGATCTCGTTGCGCTATGTAATATGTGAGGATAAGTGCCCTGATGATGGAGACAACAATGTTTCACGTACAGGATAAGTAGGATCAAACATGAAGTCTTCTTCGTCAGCGGTGACAGGTGCCTTTCCTCTCAGTCCCCGTCTCGCGATGTTGAAGATATTGGTGCCGATGTCACCAGGACGAGGTTGGGCTCTGGCTAGGCTGGCTGATACAATGCAAACGATAGCGTAAGGGAAAGCGCGAGTGTACATAATTCCGTGCCTGCGGAGTAAAAATGATGGGTTGAATGTGAATAGAATGAAAGAAATGGTGAAATGAAGGGATGGATGGATCCCGATTTTAGAACGAATAAACCGCTCTTAAAACGAGGTTGGAAGTCCAACATGGCCTGGTGGGCCAACCTCCAATCACTATCTAGTCGGCATGACTGAATTGCGATTGAAATCCGGACTGGTCGCTCATAATCGGAAATCTATTAGTCGGTCGAGGCAACGCGGGCCAGAACATGGGCCATTAGGCTATAGGGTGCAGCCTGAAATCAATATCCATGACCAGCGGAGGTTTAGAGAACGGAATCAATGAGTATATAGAGCTGGTGGCATCGCCTATGTCGAATACTGTACGTGAGCTGCCAATGGCCGGAATTCAACGTTTGATGTTTCTGAAGTTCAAAAACTTCTACAGACACAATCTTATATCCAATCTCCCAATCGTAAAAAGCAAACTACAAAGCGCGTACCTAGGTAGTAGCTGTGTGGTACAAGAGATTTGGAATTGGGAAGAAAATAATCCTGCCAGTCGGTACTAAGCATGTTCTGGGACAGTTCTGCCTGTCTGGAAAGATAGAAAAAAGAAATTAGGCCCGGCACGATTTGAACGTACGTATTCCAAGGTAAATCCTGCGAGCAGGGGAGTTGACGCTTTACCGCTAAGCTACGGGCCTGTATGAACGTTAGCTCTTGTTTGTATATCTATAACTTGACTTGCTAACTCCGACAATCTACTCAATGACGGCGATTACCCAATCATCCCTTTGAAGCTCTTCATGAACACTTCCCTTTTTGCCTTTAGGTCTACATGCACCACAGGATTGTTTAATATCCGGAAAGCCTCCAGTCGTCAGTTTTACCTTCAACGCTCCCTTGCTTGTCCCATTTGCTGAACAAGACGGTCAAAAACCTAGTGACGCGGCACATTCAACCCCCATTGACAACGCTCATCGAAAACCACCAACCGCCAGAGGATCGACTCCTATTATTCTATCCTCGATCTGAAAAGGAGAAGATTCGAAATTTTCGGGTTGACCGTCGGGTTGTCCGGGATGGTGTCAACTTCGGCCACGCAGCGTTGATGGTCAAGCACTATGACTGGAAAGTCGAAGACGGAGAACTGCGTCTGTGTCCGTACTTCGACCCGACATCCAAGACCTTGAGGTTCAAGAAACCCGATGGGGAGGACTTTCATCGCGATCAACACCTGACTGAACTCTTGAGCCGGAAAATCTATCGGCCACTACTGCATCTCGCCCATGCCGAAGGGCTTCTCGATAAAGTTCCAGGTCGGTACTCCTTCTTGATTAATGTGCCATCCGTCACTAATCTCGGACGTTAATCATAGCTGATGCCCTTACCTCTCTCGATTTCAACACAATCCTCGAAAGTGGCTACTGTCATCGCACACGCCACTGTTCCTGGGGTGAAACGATACAGGACCTCCCTCTTCGCAAGTACAGGGCCTTTTTCCGATTCGCTGGCGAACGCATTTCCCCACAGATGATTTGGCATCCGGTCAAGGAAGACATTCGAGAGCACATTGACTGTTTCCCTTACGTGGACACCGAAGATCGATTGCAAATATGGGATGTGGAGAGATCGCGGGACCTGCGGGCTGTGACGAATATGACCGCCTTGTCGGCTCTCAGCGTCGCTGGTAACGATATAGAACAGCATGGGCGTTTGGTGGTGGACAGTTTTAGCGCGGAAGACGTAAAGAAACGATGGACCGGCCTTTTCGCAGCGATTCAGAGGAAAGGGTACTGGAAGGATGTCTGAGCTCGTGGCACGTCCGTCCCTAGCAAGTTCTGAGTGGGAAATGTGTGTAAATGGCGTCTCGCGAGGTGGACACGGAGACGGATCATAACTCATAGTTTGGGTGCATCTACGTGGCACCATATTGATACAACTGCTCGCCATTTCCCCGGAAAACATCGCTTACAATAATCGCATGCTCGGATGTCTCATATAAATTGCAAAGCACGATGTGGGAGGCCCTAGAGCCATCTCGTCCACCGGGCAAAGATCATACAAGTGAACGACCTTCTCCTACGACGCATCATCTGTCGAAATATCATCTCGCAACCTTGAGTGAGATTTTGGATAAAAATTGCAATGAGTTGCGAGATGGAGTGGATTGAGTTTCGCACCTGAAGTCCGGTTGAAATTTCGCAGCTCAAGGTCGGCGAGAAGAAATGCGCTCCGATTTGATATGATTAGGTAATCCTCGTACGGAGATCGCCGGGGGCGGTTGGCAACAATGTCGCCGACGACTCCAGTGGCACCGATGGGGCCCTGTCCCTCTAGTTGACTTCAAAGATATAATATTTATGTATAATTAGTCTATATTACCCACTATTTCGACTTTAGCTACCGGCCCTATCCTGTTCTGACACTTATAGATGCCCTCGGTATCATCACCGTTCACCGGCGATCTCCGCACTTTGATTACCTAATCATATTTCTTCTCTCTTGTCGTCGGTGCGCATTTCTTCTTGCCGACCTTCAGCTGCGAAATTTCGCCCGGACTTTAAATGCGAACTCTAACTCGCTCCTTTCCGCAACTCACCGTAATTTTTATCCAAAACCTCACTCAAGGTTGCGAAATAATATTTGGACAGATGGTACGTCATACTCCTAATGCATCTTGCGGAATATATCGCAGCCGTGACGCTCATCCGTTCGAGCGCGCGCCACCGGGAATGGGAGATACGTGTCTGACATCATACATGAACGAAGCAACGGTCCTAATGTGGCATTAGTAATGCCTGTTCCGACAAACAACCGGAAAGAAAGGGTAAAAGATCGGAATCGTTCCCCAGTTACAAAAGTAGACCCGGCACGATTTGAACGTACATTAATATGAACGGCGCAACTCTGCACACAAAGTGCAGGTCGCCCTAAAGCATCGCTTTGACCATTAAGCTACAGGCCTTGCTTTCATGTGCTGGATCCTAAATTTAAATATTCAACCATGCCATAAAACATTGTTGTCAGTTATTCGTTCAAGGGCATCAGACGGCGCGTCCGAATGAATCGGAAATGACATTTAGCACGACAAACAACCAGAAAGAATGGATACAAGATTGGATTCGTTCCATAGTTGCAAAAGTAGACCCGGCACGATTTGAACGTGCATTAATCAGGATGGCGCAACGCTACACATACATAGTGCAGGCAACCAAGCATCACTTTGACAATTAAGCTACAGGCCTTGCTTTATGTGCTTGACTCTAAGTCAATATTCAGCCATGCATAAACGTCATTCACTCACTCCGATGTCATACCCGAAGGAATCCACAGCTCTGAAGAATCAGATGCGGTATCAGCACTGCACGAAGCCCGTCCCCCGACAAACAACCAGAAAGAAGGGAGGAAAGATCGGGGTCATCTCACAATGCAAAAGTAGACCCAGCACGATTTGAACGTGTATCAAATATTACGGTGTACACGCAACCGAAAGCATCGCTTTGACCATTAAGCTACAGGCCTAGCTTTGATGTCGGATTCTCAACTAATATCGGTCATGCAGCAGTCAATTGATCAGAAGACGTGAGAGATGCGGATGAGATCTATATGCCAACCATTTAATAGGCGCGATTTAAACATGCATCAAAACTCAAAACTCTAATTGCGGTGATACCCAGCGGGATGGTACGCGATAGATCGACACTGGTCTTGCCACGCGGTGTAAACAAGATGTCTAAACTGATTGGGACTGTGCAACAGCAATAGACCCTCGTAACCATTAAGCTATAGCGGTCCCCAGGTAAGGTTGTAATGACACGGGAATGGGGCGTTTGGCATCTTGTGCGGCAACGAAGGTTTGAAAGCACTTGACAGAGGATAGAACGAAGCGATGCAGTTTGTGAAACTGGTGACAACTTCCGCTCGCTCGCGAAGCAAACATACAGCCAGACGTCGAGGATTGTGGGGATACCATCAACGGACGTAGGGGACAGAGACAACGGGGAGGCAGTGCTCAGTAGTCGGCAGGAAGGGGGCTAATCGCCCAATCCGAAGATATGAGCCAGAAGAATATCGCATGACAGGCCTGTAGCTTAACGGTAAAGCGATCCCTTTGGGTCTGTCGCGATCTCTAAGCGCGGCAGCTAGTCGCGGTTTTCTACGTGACAGTTTGATGTACGTTCAAATCGTGCCGGGTCTAAATGCTTTTGTCTTCAGGCCCGTAGCTTAATAGTAAAGCGATATCCCTTTGGGTCTGTTGCGACTTCTATTCGGTTTCATGTACTTTTGGTCTTCAGGCCCGTAGCTTAATGGTAAAGCCATCCCTTTGGGTCTGCGTTGTCAACCACGACATCGTTAGTTTCATGTACGTTCGAATCGTGCCGGGTCTAATTTTATCCCAAATTGGATAATTCAAATATTTGATCGATAACATCATTATCAATTTGATTTTTTTAAACACTTCCCAATGCGGCCGCACCACCGACGCCCCGAGCCTTCACTCTCGTCTCTTCTGCCACATCCTCAATCACCTTCTTTACCAATTCCACATCCGGTCTCTCCACATCTATCACTTTCCTCTCCTTCTCTAATAGACCCTTGAATTCGTTCGGCATCACATCCTTCTCAAAGTCGAAAGTCGCCTGACCCGAAAGCGCAAGGGTGACAGCTTCAGAAAACTTGGCGGGGTGCGCCGTGGAAAGGACGACCTGCGGATGATGCTGAGTGGTGTACGATCGGGGCTTTTTGTGGAACCGCGACGCAGCTGCCAATCCGACGGCTGTGTGTGGATCGACGATATACGGCGGGGAGCAGTCCCGATAAAAGGCTTTAATCGTCTCAAGGGTCTGAAAAGGTACAAGGATTTAAGAAACCGCTCCACAACGCCGTGATGAGCATGCTTTACCTGCTCGTCTGAGACCCTCTCGGCGACAAAGTCCTTCCTGGCGAACTCAAGTACTTCCACAGGCAAGGTGACCTTTCCGTCACTTTTCATGGTCTTCATCCACCTATCCACCACCGAACACGCTTCATTCCTCCGCGCGTCATCATCCCGATCCTTTGATGTCGCATCGAAGGCAAGATACCACAACAGCCGTTCGAAGTTGCTCGAGATGAGAATGTCCATGGCCGGGCTGTGCGTCGCCTTCACTCCCGCGACGGCCTGCTGTCCATCAGAAGAGCCCAAAACAGGCTGCGTCGCTCCGACAGCCTCTCCCTCGCCCACACTCGCGACCTTCTCGTACCTTCCCGTCTTCCAGAACCTCGCCAAGATATCGTTCTCGTTCGTCCCCACGCCGAGCTGAGCCATCGGCAGACCCATCCTCTTCGCGTAGAACCCAGCGAGAACGTCTCCGAAATTCCCCGTAGGTACCACGAACTGCGGACACGAATGATGCCGAGTATTTGCAGTCTGTGGGGTCTGTCGGAGAACGTAGAAGTACGAAAGGAAGTAGTAGACAGTTTGCGCGAGGATTCGGGCCCAGTTGATCGAGTTGATAGCCCCGAGTTTGTGAGTAGCGTTGAACGCCGCGTCGGAGAAGAGGGCCTTCACAATATCCTATAAATTGCCAAGGTGAGATTGAGGGTAGTAGCCGCTCATGATGTAATAGTCCTTACTTGACAATCGTCGAACGTGCCTTTGACGGCGACGTTGTGCACGTTGGCGTCTGTAATCGTGGTCATCTGGGCTTCCTGGATAGGCGATACTCGGCCTTTCGGGTGAAGAATGAATATAGAGACATTCTCCTTCCCTCTGAGACCATAGATGGCAGCGCTGTAAAGTGAGTTGACGCAATGTCAACGAGCGCGTCTATTTACTATCAAAACCATCCGCACGTACCTTCCGGTATCACCACTCGTAGCACCAATAACCGTGATCTTATTTTTCTCCACTTCAGTCAACGCCCTCCCTTTCTCCTCCTCCAACCGCGCATTCTTCCTCTTCAAAAAATACTCGAACAGATTTCCAAGCAACTGCAACGCGACGTCCTTGAACGCAAACGTCGGACCATGCCACAACTCCAACACCCATACCTCCCTCCCATCCGCCGTCTCAACTTTTTTCGTAGGTGCGACCTCGGGGTGTCTAAAACCAGCGTATGACTTGTCGATCAGGACCTTGAGGTCCGAGGAGGGGATCTCAGAGGGTGAGATGTAGAGCGATAGGATCGCATGAGAGAGTTGATTGAATGCGTATGATTTCCATTCCTCTTGCCAGTTCTCTGGGAGGGTGGGGATGGTTTGGGGGATGTAAAGACCGCCGTTGGGCGCGAGACCGGTAATGACCGCCTAATAACAAAACAAGGAGTTATTTCATCACCGATAGATGGCTGAGTTTGAGTGGATGTTACCTCTTCGAAGGAGAGGAAGGTGTCAGCCCCTCTGGTGGAGAAGTATTTCATGGTTGGAGAGTTAAGCGCATTCGGCGAGTCAACGTGGAAGTGGAAAGCACCGAAACGAAGTCGATCGGCTTACACGGCCGAAGACTTTTGCCCAGAGTCGCGCCTTTCGCCCTTCTATCAACCCTACGATGAATTGAACAACAATAAATATGATCAACAGTGAGGACTCAATTCTATACTGGTTTTTGGCGAGACAACACGGGCCCTCTGACACGCGCGTATTCCACCATCGATCAACGCGATCATCAAGAGGATCGCCTCCCAGCCATCCACATCGTTCAATTTTGAATGGCACTAAATCATGGCGAAAATCAGACTAGCCCTATTGAGATGTGTACTCGGGGCAACATCTCGAGGTCTTAAATACATTCCAAATGATGAATTAAATTCTCGATGTGTAAGCGGAAATGTCAATGATAGGGATGCCGGGGATCTCAACCGCAAGGACGTTTCTGTGTACTAGAACACGACTCCGGTATTCAATGGGCCGCAGCGCGACCGGAACCCAGAACATTCTCCTCTCTTCAGAGTCTCGAAGCCAACCATCTTTGTCGATCACGAGAACACGGACATGATCATCAGGCTCATAGCTAGGTTGCTGGCCGCTATCAAGCCGTGCCTCCCGGCCAGCTAACGTCCAGATGATCTGATCGTGTTCACCCTTCGTGATGACGGATTTGCCACTGAGTGAGAACGTTAGGTGCTTGATGTTGGTCATATTGTGAACAGTATGCTGGGTTAAGATCCCAGATACGGAATCCCAGAGGCGGAGAGTACCGTCGGACGACGCAGAGACGACTTCGTCGGATGTAGGCGCGAAAGCAATTCTGTGGACATGGCGAGTATGGCTCCCCGGCCCCGACTGCCCGAGTCTGACCGGTTCTCTGGTAATACTATTCCACAGTATCAGGGTGTTGTCCATAGACTCGGAGACGATCATCCGGCTATCCGGTGACCAGGCGACACACCAAACATCCCCAATGTGACCATTCCAAGCTTCCCCGATAGATGTCCCAGTGGATGGATACCACATGCGGAGAGTGCTATCGGCTGACCCGGAGACAACCCTTCCACCATCTGGTGACCAAGCAACGGAGAGGAACGCTCCAGAATGGACCCTCCAAACCTCGCCAATGGGTGCTCCAGTTGGTGGATCCCATAGCTGAAGGGTCCAATCGCTTGATCCCGATACTATCCTCTTGCTATCGGGCGACCAGGTAACGCAGCCGACTGCGCCGCTATGCGATCTCCATGCCTCTCCCACGGGTGTTCCAGTAGACGGGTCCCAAAGGCGGAGGGTACCATCGTCGGAACCAGACACAATCTTCTGGCCATCCGGGGACCATGCGACGCAGCGTACTCTGTCAATATGACCACTCCAAGCTTCCCCTACAGATATCCCAGTTGATGGATCCCACAGGCGAAGGGTGCTATCGGCCGACCCAAAGACAACCCTTTTGCCATCTGGTGACCAAGAGATAGAGATGACTGTGCTGACGTGACCCTTCCAGGTTTCTCCAATGAGTGTCCCAGTAGTCGAATCCCGCAGTTGAAGAGTATAATCACTCGACCCTGACAGTATCCTCTTACAATGAGGCGATCATACCACGGCCCGGACTGCAGAGATATAGCACTTCCAAGCCTCTCCAATGGGTCCTCCTGTAGATGGATCCCATAGGCGGAGACTACCATCGTCGAACCCGGAGATAATCCTTTGACCATCCGGTGACCACGCAACGCAGCGCTGCGCGTTTCCCTGAGACCACTGTTGCGCACGGCCACGCCGTGGTATGGGGCCACCTTCCGCTAAGTGACCATATATTCGCGATAGTGAGGTGTGTGAGGGTGTGAATGGCAAAGCGGAGTGGTAGATATGTGGTGAACTTGTGCGAATGGGCATATCGAACTCTTTAACGAACGATTTTAGGTCGTCCAGAAGGTTAAGAATGGATGGATTGGAATCTGTGGGTATTGCGTGAACCGACCGCGCAGCAGGTTTTCGTGCGGGTAAGAGATGTGCAACGAAACGCCTTATACGGTCGAATACTCGGCCAGAAAACGTGTGCGCCATGTCCACGAGACTTTCCATGATGACAGTACTGATGCGGCGGCAGGGTGAGCTTGGTAGAGCCGGAGCGACTCGGGGAGGTCTGGCCTGGAGAGATCGTTTCAGCCGAGCTGTCGGAGCCGAGTAAGCAGCGGTCTTACCTTGATCCAATGTTCTACCTGCTCGATCATTCCGAAAACATTCCCCATCACTCCTAGAAGACTCAGCACCTCTAGCCAGAATAGCAGCCTCGTTTTTACGAACATCTCCATCAACGCGTACACATCGTCACAGTCGGGGGACGCCCTCGAAACATGCGTTGCCCAATTCTCACAGGCGTATTTCAACGCCAACGAGATGTGTTGTCGTACCAAGTCATCGATGCCATGGCTTTTGTAGCGTATATCGGAGATTCTAATGTCGTTGCCGTCTTTGATCTCATCGCTTTCCTCCGCGGTGCTGCTGCTTCCAGGGTCGACCAAAACGTCGTCACTACGGCTTTCGACCTTTCTCCTATTACCGCGATTACTGCTGCGACGACGATGCCACTTGATCTCGGCGTTGAGCATAGTTGGATCTAGGTTGCAAATGTTCGGCCGTTGAAGGTCTTCCATGTGACGCATGCATCGGATGGCCATCCGTCGATGTTGATCCGGAATGTCGACTAGAAACCGAGCATCGCATCGAGACTGATCAGTCAAGTAGTCTCCAAAGGCTTTGTGAATAAATCGGATTGGTTTCGCATCAGGGGAGGGATCATCGATATCGGGGACAACGAGCACCGCCTGCAGGTATCCAAGGACCTTTGTACGAATATCGTATGTGAGGGCTTCAAGGTTTGAGTCGCCGTGACAGAGAAGTGAAGCGAGCGTGCATGTGTTGACCGGCACCTTCACCATGCAGAGGGCTCCTAAAACATCCTGGAACAAAGTGAGGAGCT